TGTCATGATACTACTAGATATACACCTTTCGATTTGATGTATGGGAGAACTGCGTTATTGCCCATAGATTTAGAAATATCAACTCAAATACAACAAATAAACAACGACTTAGAAAGCGCAATAAAAAAACGAATATACGACGCCATATTTTTATTAAACGAAAAACGATTTGAAGCAAAACAAAATATAGAAAAAGCACAAATCAAACAAAAGGAGAGACATGACCAACATATTACTCCAGAAGAATATGACATTGGTGATTCAGTCCTCATATACAGGAGTAAAGCAGATAAACAGTGGAGTGGAAAACTAGATCCAAAATGGGATGAACCATATACAGTATGGAAAAAACTTGGTAATGGTGCATACAAATTGACCGATGAAAATGGAATTCACGCAAAATTCATACATGAAAATCGGTTAAAGAAATACAAATCTAAAGAAGAACTAAATGAAACATTCGAGAACGAATTGTCAAATGAAGAGGGGAAACAAATACCAACACTAACGACAATCAACCAATTGTGGTAATAACGCCCCCAACAAAAGAAAAATTGCAACAATATAAAAAGAGTAGAAAAGTTTATTTCGATAACAATGTGGTAATAATACCTTAAATATTACGGTATATACAACAAATAACGTAGATCACAAAATACGATTAAATAATAACAATGTCGACAAACGAAACCTCTGATGACCTAGAAACAATTCTACGGCAATTAGCCAACGAAGTAATAGAAAACCCTACACAATTGACATTAGAATTAGGTGACCAACTCGACTTTTCACCCTCACAATTATCGAATACTCCTTTAGTATTTTCAGAAGAATCACCAATAATAATTAATAAATCACAAGAAGAAAAAGAACGAAAAATAAAAGAAATTAATAAAATATTAAGAAATACAAAGAAACAAAATATAAAAAGAAATAAAAAAGAAAAATCTGACACATGGAACAGATATGCACGAACACAACAAAACGACGGACAAAAACTATGCTGTTTAGCATTAAAACCCATATTTAGAACTAAATTAATGCGACTCCGAATAGCAGAATGGTTAAGTGATATATTCTCAACAAATCCCGAATTCCTTCTTGAAGTATCTAGAGGAACATTCTTAAAACTAGGACGTTTGAACCACGAAGAACTACAGCAATTAGCAGAAAAAGTGAAGGAATGGTGGAATTAAACGTAGTATTCGCAGGAGCTCATATTTTTTCTTAGAGGAGGCAAATGTCACGATTTCAACATTACTTATACACTACCTGGACAAAAGTCTTGCACATCGAAAATTTTTAATTACATAAAATTGCACATAATAATTACATTTC